TAAAACGACAGAATTTTAAAATCTGCCAGGCTGTTCCCTCCATTTGCAATCAGACAGAGTGGCTCTTTGTGTGCCCGGGGCCCGCGTAGGAAGGGCGCAGCAGACAGACTGCGGCTCCACGCTTAGCGTCGCGTCGCGCTCGTTAAACTGCCTCTTTTCTAGGCAGGCATCTCCGCCAAGCAAATCTAACAAATGTGGTAAAGCCACAGTTTTCCCAATAAATGTGGTTTTACAGCCTCTGTGTGTGAGTGTTCAGGGATTTACAGATCAAGGTAATATCCAGTGAGAAATAAATAAAACGTTTATTGTACTTAATACTTCATATTGGTCCCATGAGTTATATTTAGATGAGGCTGGTAAACCTAAATAAATGTTCATTTCTGCTCTTGGAAAACAGGTAAATGTGAGATGCCTGAATCAAGTAACTGACTTGAACGCTGTGGCTCTTACCTGGGATTTCAGGTCATAGAGCTGAAGAATTTGAGAGCTGTATAGGCATTAACAGGTTTTAGTCATGCAATCTGCTTGTGTTGTACGTGGTAATCACTTTGGTGTTGATAAGTTTAGTTTTCTTTGAGCAATCAAGTGAAAAGGGCTCTGGGGTCAGTGATGCAAGTGCTGCACTTGTATCACGGACTTCCCTAGTCCTTGTAGAGGGCCCTAGCAGCTGAGTGTGGACAGCTTTCCTGATGTGCATGTTGTGAAGGGGTGGGGAGCCCTTTTCCGTCGTCTTTCTGATAATTTGGCTTTCCCCACACTGCGGTTACATCTGTCTTTGTACCACACTGAGTGTGTTTTTGGATGGAGTACATATTCCACTATTACTAATGCTTTATAACATTTTGTTTGTGCACAATTAGCATACCTATGCAACATGACATTTTTGTTGTAATTCTAGAAACAGCTCTATATGAACCACAATCTAGAAGACAAAAGGCAACAAATCTTAGTGCTAATAACTGGATATTTTAAGTTATGTTGGCCAAAAAAAAGCTGTTGGAAGCTTTAAATTCTCATCAAAATCTTGGGAATGTTCCAATTTCCACTGGCTGACAAAACATGGGAAAGGAGTGTAGGTCCTGGCCTGCTGCTGCTGCACACAAGAGCTGCCTTGGCAGCGGGAAATGTGCTCAGGTGCTATTTCCCAGCCCTGAAAAACCACGTGTTGTTTCTTATTTAAGTAGAAGATAACCTTGGTAAAGTATAGAGAAAAATAGAGGCATCACTCTTCTTGGTTAGACAAGGATTCTGCAGAAAAAACATCTGGAGGAGTCACAGGTAATGCTGCGGTTTAGTTTTGAGTTTCCTCACCCATTGCGAGTGCTGAGAGTGGATCAATTTTGAATTAGCTGCTGTTCAGCATTATAAGAAATATGTATTAATTATGACTGAATAGTTTATTGCTTTGTGACCATCTTTATATGAATTTAAAAGAGTCGAAGCACTAAGAGTCTTGAAATTTAAACAACTGTTTAGATGATGCAGATTCTACTTTACCTCTTCCTTGAGTGAAGTTAAAAACTTTGGATTCCTCTGCCAAGAGAGATGAATTAAGGTCATTTAGTATCTGTTCTTCTCAAAGTTATTGTTAAACTCTGAGCAAAATCATTTTGTTTTCCAAGAGAGTTAATTGCAGGACAGGCAGAATATTAATGAACTTAATGAATAAGCTTCCTCGTGGCAGTAGAGTTATCGTGAAAGCAGCTTTCTCTCACATTTTTTTTTCTTCTAGGATATCTTGAATAATCTTGATTCATGTGATCTTGATGATGATGATCTCATGCTTGATGTGGACCTACCTGAGGACCCACCTCATGACAAAGGTTAGTAAGTCATGAGCAAGTAAGGTTTGAAAGGAATGGTCAAGTTCTTGCTACGAGTCCTGTTTATGAAACCTGCAGTGCATATTGAACAGTAATTCATTCAAATTATTAATTTAAAAACTCTTTAAAATATAAAAGTTTATTTTACTTGTATACTAAAATTTTACATAAATAACGATTAGAATCTTTGCAAAAGATGAATGTATTTCAATATCTGTTATGTCGATAAAAGTAAAGTACTTTTCTACTTCATTGCTTTATGGAGTATATCAATACAACCAAGTTAAAATTAGAATCTTTGCAAAAGATGAGTATATTTCAATATATGTTATGTCGATAAACGTACTTTTCTACTTCATTGCTTCATGGAGTATATCAATACAACCAAGTTAAACCTATATACTGCAAAAACTAACTTTGGATAATGTTTATGCAGCTGGAATATGGCTTGTGACTATGGCAACTAGTGCTGATTAAGCTGGTGATTCAGGAGGAGAGATTGTTACTGTTTTGGATCAATATCAGCTAATTGCTGTTATTTTTTGCATCTTTAAAGAGTTGGATTTCCAGGTAGAATTAATTTGGTACCATGGGTCTAATTTCTTACTTTTTTTGAATTCCAAAAATTCTAAAGCTTTTCCTTAAATAAGTGACCACCAAAAAAAAAAGTCATATTTTTTCTGATGCTTATTTGTTTTTATATAAGGTCTCAATTTCATTTGCCCAAGTTGAAAAACATAATAATGAAAATATCTTTAAGTTTACTGAGGGTTTATTTTGAATTTAAATTATGCATTATGAGCTGTAGGAGGATGCCTCTAAAGGAAAACAAATCTTTGGTGTGTTTAAGTGGCTATGTTATCTTTTTATCTACTTTTACTGAGTTAGCCGATAAGGTTGAATTCTAGACATGAGTATTTGTTATGGCATTTTGCAGTGCTTTTTGCCAGCAGTTTGTTCCCAGTTGTGATTTAACTGACGTCAGCCTTACAAGACTTCCCAGGTCTGCAGAAGCTTCCCCGTTTCGTTCGGGGCTGGGGTGCCGCTCACCACTATTAATAGCAGCGGCTGTAGCAGGACAAGTATGCGCGGCGAGCGCGGGCGGCAGGCCCGAGCGCGGGGCAGAGCTGGGCTCCAGGCCCAGCGGCGCAGCCGGGAGCCGCGCAGGAAGGAAGGCCTCTCCCGCGGGA